ACCAGTATATTTTTGATGATGGTCGCAGTAGTTTTCCACGTTTTGGCCAAATACAGTAGAACTGTCTTGATGTTTGTTTTGAAGATTGTAACTTTGATGTTGTCTAACAGTTGTCTTGAGTTCCAGATGTTCTTCTGTCGTAGGAATGCTACCCTTGCTTTGTCAATCCTAACCTTCACATATGCATCTGATCTCCCTTGTATATCGTTGATGCTGCTTGGGTACGTAAAACTTTCCACCTCTTCCTAAGCTTCCCTATCAGGTGTGATTGGGTTGATGCTTTCCGTGTTGTATTTTATGATCTTGCTTTTTCCCTTGTGTATGTTGAGGCCTACTACTGAAGAGATTGGCTGTCTTTACCTGCATTTGTTGACGTGCATGAGATAGAACAACCAGGTCAATAGCGAAGGCCAAATCGTCCAGATGCATGCAGTCTGTTCATTGTATTTCATGCTTTCCCTGAGATGTGTAGATCTTCGTAATACAGTCATTCACCAAAAGTAAAAGAAAGGGATATAGTGAGCAGATATTTCTGACTCCGGTCTTCACTAGGGATGCAGCTGTCCTACATGCACTATTTTTCAGTGTAGTCCGTCGTATGAATTCGGCCTGTAGATCTTGAAGTTCAGCGTCCACTGAGTTTTTCATTCCGTCCAATAATACTTTATTGAAAACTTCCTGGTACTTATAATAGCGTGATGCCTCTGTAGTTCTCACACTTGCTGAGGTCTTCCTTGGGTATGATCATGAGGCATCCATCCCAGTATGTCCCTTCTTATTCTTCCTCTTAAATGTTTTTGAATAAAGCATGGAACATCTTTGCAGTTGCTTCTATATCTGACTTCTTTGCTTCAGTTGATATGTTTTCTGGTCTTGCTGCTTTCCCACTCCTGATTTGTCTGGTGGTCATGCCGATCTGTTCGATTGTTGATGGGTTAAAAGCTGTGGTAATGTCTGTTTGGGTTGTTTCAATGTCCGGTGGGGGCATAGCTCTGGATAACCTTCATTGTAATCCTCTCTTTGTTTTAGAGGATCGTTTGGTGATTCTGGATTGATGAGATTCACATCCTATAAGCGCTTTTTGTGTTTCTTTAAAGAGCATTACGTACAAAGCATTTTCTCCATAACCTGAGTACAACGGCATCTCTTTCGAAGCTTATCTTTTCTATCCAGCTTAAGTTCGATAGGTTTCACTTATTTCGAGAATTTCCAAGTTGTTTCTCCTCATTTCTGTAGCTACTCGCCTATTCCTCCTTGTGTCTCACATTGTCCGGACATTCTACGTATCTATATTGTTGCTCTGGTCGCCCTTGTGACTTCTGAAGAATCTCGGCTTTCACCATGAAGTGTCATAATTTTTCTGAATGTAGTTCCTTCAACTCCCAGGTCAGAGTTTAAGTGGTTCAAGTGAGTTTTTTGGTTAGCATTTTTTTTAGCAAGGTTTTGTTTCTATGGATGGCATTTCTGACCCCTCATCCAACCCTCCCCGTTTATCTACCGTTGGGACTGGCATTAATCCTAGAAGGGCTACAGGCAAGGTTACATCATTATGTACCTTGAAGGATTTAAAGAAAACCAAGAGACTTTTTATCATGGTTCAGTAATGAGCTTCGTATCCCTCTCTGCAAAAGGAAAAATAATGTGTGGGAAAACTATTTTATGTGCTACGCATGCCTAAACACCGTTTACCATGACGTGCAATGCTGGAGATGATTTGAAGAAAGTTAGGGGTGACCAAACCAAAACGTGGCATCAGTCCTTGAAGTCACCAACTTCTGGTCTGAGCCATGTTGGTGGATGCAGACTACTTGGTTGGGGTCCGCACGACTATCGTAACCAATGGTTGGAGACTCTGAGTGACATTGCTTAGAATCGATCAAACTGACATAGGTTTATACACTCGTTGTTTTCTCTTAAACCGTGAGATTAGAATTGCTTTATACCTTTCTTTCTACAAACTAATTCTTTCTTCCTTTATTATATCCTTATACGCAATCTTTCTTTTATATATTGCTACCATTGAGTTAACTGCTTCTATGAATTCGGTGTTTATCTTGTTGTGCTAATGAAGTGTGGCAACTTGGACTGATGCATATATGTTTCTGGTCCTACGTTGTATATGACTGACTGACTATTGTTATTAGGCTTTGATGAAACTATATCTTGGTATAAAAGGACAGAAATATTTGTTTCTTGGCTGTATATAAGTCTAGAAGGAAGTGTAAATAAAATTGTGGTAAAGATTCTGTACAATGCTCTAGGCACTTATATCTTCTCATGAGCCGAAGGACAAAGAGTAGGTCTGTACCCCAGCATCATATAAACGTGGTGTTATGACATCGCCAGTTAGAGATGTCTAAGACAAAGCCCGGGTATTCAAACTACGTGAACAATGTTTATAATGTAGAGACGCCTTTTCCCCAGGTAAAAATAAATCCTTACAATTAATAAACTCGTAACCTTTGATCTGTTAAATAAGTTTGATGTAAGAAAACCTGTGGGACCCCATGAACTGATTCTAGATTACTAAAGGAACTTTCTCGTTTTATTGCAAATCCCTTAAGTTTTTACTTTGGTCTATCTGTAACCCAAAGTGGATTATCTAGAAACTGGGAGAACACATTAGTGAGTCGCACCTTTGAAAGAGGGTCAAAATGTAAACCTAGAAAGTACTATACTGTATCGTAGTTGTCAGCATTCGAAAAATGACTCGCAAGGAGTTAGTCAAATATTTAGATGGAAATCTGATCGTCGGTTAATGTTTCCTGGTGTAAATTGGTGCATGTAGATCACCAGGGTATGGCTACATACACGACAAATAATGTTGAGTTACCCCTTATCCAGACGCACTGCTTTAGGAGTGTTTGTCGATTAAGACTCGAGGACCAAAGTGCAACGCTGTCCAACAGCTGCCGAAAGTTCTAGAACCCTCTAGTCAGTACGTATAACCTATAGAAACGCGGATTTTGGAAATTTTCCAACTAAGTTCGTTTGACCAACACATAAGTATTTCATACTGACAGGCAGTCCCTGTTTAAAAACAGTCAATGAGCTGTCGGAGAAGGTCTAGAGAACCCCAACTGAGTTGATCCCCACAATCGCAAGGTTAGATGTAGGCATAGAATGTGTAAGGCAATATAACTCCCGGGATGGAGTTCCATAATAGCCAGAAACCAGAACAGGTCCGCATATTATTCGTGTCCTCGATATCCAAGGCCCTACTTACACCATTGCTTTGTAATTAGGGTTCCCTAACTTCCTTAGACGGATTTTCCGTTTCTGTTAATCCGGCTCGTGCTTCTGACGTCCACTTTCACCTCATTTTTACAGAAACCCATGTCACTTAAAAGCAGGAAATAAAACGTCCCTAGAAAAGGTTACATACTCGCAGACATGATAACTTCTGGTTAAGGAGAACAGGATCGACCCTACTATAGGATTTGGAGACAGTCGTAGGTTCATTCTGACTGTACATCGTCAGTTGTACAACACGTCGATGAGTGCAGTTCTATTTCGTACTTGGGAGGTCTGACTTCTAAATCGAGGGTTCTTGGTAGCCATCTCCGAGGGTTTCCCAATATGGGTTAGAGCAAATGTTGATAGCACTAAAGTCAATTAGCTTATTAGGTGGCTTGGTCATGATTTACAAATTCCATTTCAATGGCTTTCGCATCGCTCATTATTTCCCGACACGGATAGTAGGAAAAGCCAAAAGATGGCTGTTTTATGAATTAAATCCGTGAAACAAGATAAGTGTATAAAACTGGTGTCTGTCATGCATCATGGCGTCAAGTCCTAAAAATCATGCTACTCAGCGGCTCGAGAAATTATCAAATACGGCTCGAAATAGAAGCTCATTCTGATTCTATTGTTTCCTACGATCGAAGTTTCCACCGTTTGTATTTTTAGATGAATAGTATCTTGTACTGACAACTACACTAATTTACTAAATGTACGACTTTTTCATAATTTAATCAATTTTTTTAGTATTCTTACCGAAATTTGTCTTACAAATGAATAAGAGTCTCGATAATGTTAGATATTAATGATATATCCACCAGACTGTTGCATCAAAGCGCCTATGTCCCATAGTGAATAGGTCAATGGAATAATAATCTCTATTTTGTAAATTAATCGGTTTTATTCAGGGTTCTTAGAGTTCACATACATTTCAATTTAATGCGACATTTGATTACACCTGAAGTTGAATAAATATCTGCCTGCTCATTGGTAATTCATTTATTATCGTTGCAGCACTCTTTTGCTTAAATACTATTATCAATGATTATATAATTTCCGAATATCGTGGCCAAAAAATGGTGCTAAACGAGGTAAATAAGCTATTCACCATGGCTTTCACGTACGTTAACAGAGGTGGTTGGCTTATGTTATGCTCACTATTCGCGTAGAATAGTTTACTGTAGATTGGAAAAAAATCGAATCAATCCTGAGTTTAGACGAATCAGTTTCATTCATCAATGTGATCATTGGGTTTTCTACTCGTATGTAATAAAATAAAGTTTTCTTGACTTATAAGTCTTCTTTTTGCCCACTGACTTTTAGTATATTTTTTCATGTTTTTGAGAAGTGTAGTGTGTGAAATTGATATGCACACAAAATGATCTTCATCTTTCATTCGGTTGAGATAGGTTTTTAATTGATTGCTAACTGTCATTATATCATGCCTTAAAAATGGGTTTTCGGATCTTTATTTTTAGGTTGCTGATTGTGTGGTATCAGTTAGTTCACGGAAGTGTCATTCCTTGTGTATATATGTTTGGTCTCAACGTATTACGTGTAACTTTCAAAGATAATCTTTTCCTATATAAAAATTCGGTGACAATTTAAAGCCACTTTTTCAACTTTGCAGTCAGAAATACTGGATTCTAACTATTTAATTGTCTATCTTTCAGTGAGTTTTACTCCTGTATATGTTACATTTAATGTTGCGTCATAAATTTAAGTCAAATTAAAATGTTTTCTGTTTGTTTTATAGGTAAATGGAAAATCCTGGAGCCGGTACTCCAGTAAAAATATGCCCATATGGTGAAGAATTCGGAATAACCACTCCATCTGGGGGTTTGATTTTTAATCCATTCCATAAAGAATTTCTTAGTCGTGTTGAACAAGTGAACTTCAGCCCAGGAATATTTGCCTACAATCCCAGTCCGATTAGCAAAAGTGGTTCAAGGAAAACAACTCCCAATAGAATCAAGACACCTTTTATCTTATCTCCTGACATTCAGGGAGAATTGTTCCCTGCTGATATAGACGAAAATCCAATACTACAATTGAAACTTCAAGAGAAACTGGATACTCAGGTATGTTAGGTTATTAAAGGTATAAGTTTACTTAGTAGTATTCACTTGTTTATTATTTTGCAAGGACTTTAACCATGTATCATATATCTAAAATAACTGGCCGATTGTTTCTTAGCATCATGAATTATCACGTCAGTAAGTTGTCATAAAAGTTTTACTCTTGGACTGTGTTTCACTGTAAAAACGGTGGACCTAGCATCGAAGCTTTATTTGGCAGTCCTGCATGGGGTTAAGAAAAAAGCGAAGTAGTGGCTCAGTTTCTAGGCTGCCCAAATTTCAACCATTTATTCTCAGATTCTAATATCAACTACTTACTTGCGCCTGGACAACCTAGTAGTCACACTAGCCCTCACACTTAAGGTGTGATTCGAAGCCGAGTACACGAATTTGTACCTGATGAGTGACTTAAAACAACTTTAGTAGTGTTATAAGGGGAAAATAATGGTAGAAGTAAGAATTCCAAGAGTACTGGCGAGAACACAAATTGAGCTATTAATATAAACCAAATTGAAACTACCTCTTTAATACTGAAATCAATCACTTCAGAAATCGTTAAGTCATGAACTGTTTTTTAGTTGATAATGAATCATGAAGTGTTCGCTCTAAAACCACATCCCGACCGTTGCTGCTAACTTGACGTGGTGGTCGGGCTTGCCTACCCTGATGAACTAGTCCGGATATAATGGCTGGAACAATCGTTCCTCAAGGTCCTACCACGCCAGATAAATCGGCTGAAGAACGGTAAGACCAAAAGCAACAAACGCAAGGCCCAAGGGAGAAGTCGTACTGTTGACTGTACAGAGGTGTGACGACAGAAAGGTGTTTCATTCAGACAACCTGCTTAACAGCTATGCTGCCTTCCTACAAAGGAAGAGTGGGGTTAGAAAAGTTTACCCTAGAAATGCACACCTCACCTTATCCCATGGACTATATATTTTTATTTATTTGAACACATAAATGTTGGTACAAGGAGGCGCCAAATACATATGCGCCACACAAATCTCATCTGATATGTGTAAGGGCTTTGATACTATCCGGGTGCCAAAACCGAAGCAGGCGGTTTTCCTAAGGGGCCACACCCGGAGCCGTCAATCTAAAGGTCTGATCCACAAGGCAGGGGAGCAACGTAAGGAGATGCATTCCCATGGTAGCCGGTGACCAACGATTGGTTCATATGCCATTTGTTCCTTCAGGATACTGGAGCCTATGTGCACCATTGGTTTGGAATCAGGGTTTTCCAACTCCCATAGTTAACTCTCCATGTCCACCAACCCGGTTAAAGCGCCGGACATTTACTTGTTGTCCTCTCAATTTCGTGAACAACATCCCCGCCAGGAGGCGATGAGTAGAACTTCCCTGGCAGTGGTCGAAGGCACGTGGCCATGTGAGAGCATTTGGAGAGGGAGAGCGGACTCTCACTACTCTCGGTCGTACCAGGGCATATTCCACAAATATCCGTCTCTGGCGGTAAGGTCTCAACATGTGCGGAGCTGACATAAAAGTTACCCACAAATAGATCGCGTGTGACCGGCCTCAAGCAGTTGTCACTTGAGGACTGCGGCCACGCTCTCAGGTCACTAAGGTCAACTCTAACCCAATTTCCTTTTCATGTACTTCTAGAAGAACCCTTTCACGGTGTGGGCAATCGGGAATCGATTACCGCCCTCATACCCCTAACAGCACTCAAAACCACAATTTCTGAAACCACATAGAGTGTACTCTTTTACCTAAGTTAAGATCGCTAGTTGTGGGTTTATATATTTTTAATCAGTTTATACCTAGTATTCTATGTTTTATTTTGTGTTTTATGTATTGAGCAGCCTAGTTTACCTACTGAAATTCTAACACAATACACATATTTTTCACCAGTCAAATTCTCAGTGTCTTCATTGTAGTCAGTAAATTAGTTAAAACTGTTCTACCATAAAAATGTGTCAGATATGTTATCGTATTTAGCTTCAATTGTCGATCAAGGGGCTTGAAAATATAAGTAAAATGTTTTGATAACTGAGGTTGTAAAGTAACACTTCCTTTAACCATAAGTTCAATGATTCAATTGTTACTCAATAGAAAACTGGGTCTATGATTACACATTTTATAAGCACGTTTCAGTACACTTCATTGTTTATTTGTGTAATAAAATTGAAAAGTATTCTTTTATTGGAGTACTGCTTCTGCACTAAAGTAATTATAAGTGGTCTAAAAATGATAAAGATTACTATTCAGTTTAGTAGGATTTTACTTCGTATTATAGCATTACAAACTAGATTTCTGTCCATATAATACTTGTTTCCCGTTCTGTCTCCAGTTCATGTTGTAATTCTAAAAATATTTTGCATATAATATCTTATACTGAAAAAAAGACTTTCAGAAGCCTGTTCTTCAACTACGAAAAGATAATCATTATACGGATTTTTGTTGACCTTAGAATGTATACAACTATGTGCATAATGTATCACGAAAGTGTTTGTTATTTCTACGGACTAAAAAATTATCTGCTGAATTGTCGTGTTGTTTTATAAAGTGGGATTTGCGTTTATACGGTTGTCGCCCCGCTAATCTCCATGCTATTCTACAGCATTAAACCTAATTTTGTTTGTGTTAATTCAGAACTGCCACAACGCTCATCTTATCTGATTTAAAATGAGTTTCCTTCATTAAAAACTAATAATTACATCCAAACTATTGTAACTGACCACCTTGCATCTACTTTCCATACTTGTGTGATTGACCAGTTTTTGACAACCATACATACATCAATAAACAAATCTAATTTCCAACTTGCTATGTTGTGATTGGATAAATTGTACTTTGGTCAAATTTGTCTCTGCCTCCACCACCACCATCTATCAACTTAATGATATGAATGCTACATAGTTTTGTCCACTAACTTCTAAATATTATAATGAAAGTAATGTTTTCACTATTGTTCTTTTCTTTCCACAAAATTTTCAGTGTGATGATGAGATTCAGAATAGAATTCATAGCTTTTTTAAAAATCATCTTATTGCACCCAGCCCTGACACAGTTGTATTTGACTCACCAACCAAATGTAAGTCCTATATAAAAATACTTGTTGTTATCTAAAATTGTGAAATTCATTATTTATTGCCGCGATAAATATGATTGCCGACGTCTAAAACTCATTTTTATACATAGGTAAATTTCGCTTGAATAAATTTCGTTGAAAAGCAATTAAATATAAATTATATGGGTTTTTAGACTATTTTCAGGAAGTTAAACGCTCAGATATTATTTTAGTAGGTAGGCTAGTAGATATGTTGACTAAAGCTGAAAGGCATTTAGGTGGAACTTTCAGCTTCTCAACTCGGTGAACAAGCTGTAAAAACAGCCAGACTATTGGAACAATGTGTAGAATAATTAGAGTGATAGTTCAACTGATCTATAGCTACTTCAAAATTACCGCCTTCTTACCAACAGCCTAAATAAAGTATCAACATAAACCCTTTCTTCGACTCAGTCAGGTTAAAAAAAGTCATAATTACCTTAAGACTAAGGAAGACCAGTTACTCGTGTTGAATTCGCTCTTGAGGTCGTTGATTATGGCAGTCTAGTTTAAACAGTTAGATTATCTGATGTATTATCCAATCTACCACCTAAAGATTATCCCGTCAAACTGATCTTCCCAGTTTAAAAAGAAAGAATAGAAGTTGTTTTTTTATAACCGCAAATGAATCAGCCTGACTAATATCATATAAAAGTGCTACAGACAACCATTTCACGTCAGTTACCCAACCAGTAATTTAAAAAAATATAATAGTCCCCACGGTCTTGAGGAGTAATTTACACAGTAGTAGGTTTAATCACGAAAATCCCTATCTGTCGTTTAGTAGTTCTAGCTTCACTAAAGATTTTCGGGTTCACTAATAAAGTGCACTACTCGTAGGGGGATTAAGTCATTCAGTTTGTGATATACACAGTTTTAGATATGGAAAGTAAGGATTTTATATTTTAGTAAAGTGTTCTGTCATGATAATACGCCTGATGTTTAACTTCTGAAATGAATACCAGTCATTAATAAAAAAATAGTTACATACCATACCAAGGTGTGTCAAATTCTGATTTAATTATGTAGTATGTATTTTCTTCTATTTGATCTGTGTTTATCTCCATTCTATTTTATCTTAACTTTGAAAACCGTTTTAAGATTTTGCTTAAGCATTAATTTTTATTTACTCATTTTTTCTTCTTAAATGGTTTCTAGTCCACTCCAGTTGTCTCCCAAGGACTTCATCTCTTCTACCTACAGGTAAATAGAAATAAATATAATTTCTACTATTATTTTACTTTACCTATTGTCGCACAATACATATTATTAAACCTTTATATTTCCATACGTGAAACACTTAATACTCTTTACTAGAAATCAAATGTTGCTCAGTGCGCATGTGTGTGTGTGATTATATGTGAATGATAACGTTTACCCGAAAAAATTTCTTTTCATTGATGATGATTTCATAATCTTACAGGCGTTGATAGCTTTTAGTGTGATTTATTCAATACATTAGGAAGATATTGATTATACTCAATTCTGTAATGAGTTAAACAATCAAAATGTTTATGACTGGTGCTTATGAATTAAACTTATTCATGGTAATATCGTATAGATTATCGAGTTTCAGATGTAGGTACGTTCACTCTTTGTTCAGCTCATGAATCCTGAACTTTTAACACCTTTAGTTTTTTTACACTTGATTTTTCCTACTACTATTAATTATGTTACCACTTCTACTCTGGGATTTATCTTGATATTTTTATCTCACGGTGCTAATGTTGTGAGACAAATTGAGCTGACGCATATATTTGTTAGTTTCTACGTTGGATGTAACTAACTAACTAAGTTCTATGATGTAATAGAAAGAAATAATCACTACAATGCATTCGGTCGTCTTGATAAAGTTGAATTTAGCAGTGATAAATCTTCTGATTGAATGCTTAAGTCGGTTTCCTAAGCTCTTCTAATAACCTCAGGCTAACTCTGCACGACAACTTGAACCCGAAAGAAAAGGCGCGAAATATGAAAAGAACTTTTTACTCCAAGCCCAGTTTATGTACAGAAAATCGAAGGTATTTACAGCATTTCAGATGACCTCGGACTTCTGGAAATTTCTGAAACCCTACTAAACATAGTAGCAGGATAGGTAATCAATCAGCTGTCAAAACAGCCTAAAATTTAGCATACTACAGTTAATGAAGTTAATATCGATGGTTTTGAACTCGAGAGTTTTACTATTCATCCGATTGGTCATCGATGACTACACTTTACTGCTTTTCAGATGTAGATTTTTATTATCATGTTCAGAAAATCTAATACAAACTCTTCTCTCAGCTCTTCCTATATACTTATCATTCCAAGCATATATATAAATTCATTGCCACTGAAGAGTCCGATGCTAGGATGGAACAGTTGTCCGATGCTTCCTGATTTACAATGAATGTCTAACCACGATCAATCCGAGATTTCATCTATAAATAGATTCTCATTCTGTTGATTAAATTAATCACTTAACTGATTCAATGTGTAACACCAGTGTAAAGAAAATTAAAAATATAATTTGAACACAGAACCTTTTTTATTCCAATAGAGTTCTCATCATTATAACTTGGTAATACTACATAGTTAGGGGCGGCCAAACCAAAACATGGCATCAGTGCTTGAAGTCACTAACTTCTAGTCTGAGCCATATTGGGAGATCCAGACTACTTGGTTGGGGTTCGCGTGACTGTCGTAACCAATGGTTGGAGACTCTTGGTGACATGACTCAGAATCGATCACAATGGCATAGGTGTATTCACCCTCTGTCTTCCCTTAAACTAAGAGATTAAAATCGCTTCATATCTTTCTTTCTACGAACTAATTCTTTCTTCCTGTACTATATCCTTATTGCAATCTTTCTTTTATATATTACAACTTCTGAATTAACTACTTTTATGAATCCAGTGTCCATCTTGTTGTGTTAATGAGGTATGGCAACTTGAACCGATGTATATATGTGCCTGGTCCTATTTTGTAGCTGACTGACTGATATAGTTTGACATTTTAATGTAAAAATCGTTAACATTTAAGTGGTGCTAAGTAGATTAACATTATCATAATAAGACATCATGTTAAGACAGAAAGGATAATCACTTAATTATTACTGTTGATTATATAAAAATGAAGATGCAGAATAAAACGTAGATGTATGTTTACATTTGAGAATCAGTTGGTTATTTTCTAATGATTACGTAAGAAAAAAAAACATTAAATTTTAAGTATAGAAATAGTTGATCATATCAGAGTAACAATAAGTAAACAATTTAAGCGTAAGTTTGAGTTCATTAATTCGTTAGAAATAATCACTTGTTAATAAAAACGAAATAGGCAAGTTTGTAATTAATTCATTATTTGCAAAGGCACAACAGATGATTATACAAATCTATTTTTGGAAGCAAAAGTCATATCTAACCGATTCAATTCTCATAGCTTTCATTATGTGTAAGAGGTGATATCTGAATACATAAGTGGAAGACATTCAATAGTTAACTTTGAATAGTACATTTACATCAACTTGATGTTGTTCACGAAATTGAGAGGACAAAAAGTAAATGTCCGGCGCTTTAACCGGGTTGGTGGACATGGAGAGTTTAATTAGGGGAGTTGGAAAACCCTGATTACAAACCAATGGTGCACATGGGCTCCAGTATCCTGAAGGAACAAATGGCGTATGAACCAATCGTTGGTCACCGGCTACCATGGGAATGCATCTCCTTACGTTGCTCCCCTGCCTTGTGGGTCAGACCTTTAGGTTGACGGCTCCGGGTGTGGCCCCTTAGGAAAACCGCCTGCTTCGGTTTTGGCACCCGGATAGTATCAAAGCCCTTACACATATCAGATGAGATTTGTGTGGCGCATATGTATTTGGTGCCTCCTTGTACCAATATCTTTGTGTTAAAATAATAATAGTAATAAATAAATGAGTTCTATTTAACTTAGGTTTCATGCTGGTCGGTACACTTTAGTAAGGTGTACCTGCGATCTTGAGGGAATTGGTGCTCTTTGTTTCATTGAAATCTGCGTCACTTAGCATCGCAGTTTGAAATGTTTTGTTCGTTTAAGGCTACCGGTATGCTTTTCCGACAAGTTCCAAATGGTAAAAAACGTAGGTTCAGGGTTTCCTGTCGGCTACCATCAACCACCTAAAATCTTAATATAGTGTACACTATGTGGTATCACACAGACTGGGAACTACGTTGTAACTTGGTTGATATGATTCAATCAACTGTAAAAGGGTAGGTCATTGAAATTGTTTATTATTCAGTGATCAATCAATTCTAATAAAACTCGCAACAAGTTGTTTACATAGGATTTCCTCGCTAGCACTGATTGGATGGAAATGAACCGATCAACATATTTTGATTTGAGTTTAATCAAAATACGTAATAGTCAAGACTCTATCCTGCTTACAATGACCAATTGGTTTATGCTTCTATGTATTGCCTTTAACGATCCAATATCATGATATTATCAACTTTTTGCTTTTCTCGTTTATTTAGCTACTCCTTTAGGTAAAAAGAAAAAGAATTCCTATCTTCTAGGAAATACTTCAAGTTGTATGTGCGAAGGTAAGTGGAAAGAGAGGTGTTGTATTGTTGTGTCTTTTTTGTAGTTTCTTTACGGTCTAATAACATATTAGTTGTGTGTTTTCGGATAACAAGAAACAGCAGAAGACGTGTGTAGGTTGCAGGTTTTTTTCATCATAGATTTTTTCGAAGCTATTGCTCGTGTATTATGGAACGACCAAATGAGCTATGTTGTGGTTTTAATCATAAGGTACTAGTCAAAAGTGTGAAATCAGTTGACAAAGTAGTGAATCTTCATCAATTGAATTAGTTGAGATATATGTTACGTATATCTAACCACCGGCCTACCTCGATGGACGATGTTTGTTGGTGTAAAATGTTTAAAAAGAAGCTATGGTCGGTCAAATAAACATGTGGAATCAGTCCATGAAGTGATCGCCTATTGGTCTGAGCTTTTTTTAAATACAGACTACCTCATTGGGGTTCAGAATATCAGTAGTTAAAGACTTTGGGTAAAATGGCTCAGAGTCGTTCGTAATGGTTCAGATTCGTTTACTCTTCATCTTACTCTAGACTTTGAGTCCCAATGTTTTCTTCATTCTGATATTTGGTTGCGTTATCAACCATATTCTCAATATTTTTGAATTCATATAGGTGTCGTATTAACGTTGCCGTATGTAATTTTCTTCACTAAATAACCATTAATCAACTATTTATTAAAAAAATTCATGAAAAAGAAACTTGCTCAAAAGTTGTTTCTGACATTACCGAAACGTATCTTAGAACTTGAGTTCACTGATTCTACTCACTATTAGAGATAGAATTTTTTTCAAATTTTAAGGTAATAAAAACGATTCAGTAACAATGTAAAAGTTTACTAACTATGTTGTAGTAGGGGCTGAGAAGAAAACCAACATTGCCAGATTCATCTGCAGCGTAATTAGACGATCGAAACTGTTGTAAGTTTTACTCTTATTCAGTGTATAAGAAACTAGTGTACATAACCAAGTTCATTTATAAGTCATTAGTGTACAGCGTTGATTATTAAACATAAATATATTTTATCAGTCTTAGTCTAAGTAGTTGGACAGTACTGTTTAGCCTTACACAGTGAATGTGACGCTAAAATACATTACGATGCACACAGATTCTCTGGAATAATCCTTTTTTAATTGTAGAAGTTAAAAGACACAAGTTGATATCGAATAAACGGAATGTGGCTAACAGTGGAATCCAGGACGCGTGTTTCGTTCTATTTTGGACTCGTCAACTGAATGTATCTGCATCTTGACAATGAGATAATCCAAACCATTTCAAATGCATGTTTTCATCCAATGTTTCTCTATTTGTCATAAACTTCCTTTAATTTAAAAAATTAACTAAACTGATTTGTTCACCAGGTATTAGGTATGAACCATACTAAATGTGAAGGCTATTGATACTATTCGGTTGCTTAAACAGAAATAGGCGAAGTTGTATTAGAACCCTTAGTGGCCAAAAGTCGCACTCCTTAATCACTAATCCATCATTAGATAAATCTGATCGTTTGATTTATCAAATAAATTGTAATATTAACGTAAGACCTCATACAATATCGAATCGGTTCTAAGTGTTAAATCAATAAAATACTTTTTGATTAGTATATCTAATTTCTATGATTGCTACTTGACAAGTGGTGTTACGTAATTTTAGCATCTTATATCTCGAATTATGTAGTAGTATGTTTCAATTATTTCACATTGATTCTGTCCTCTCACATATATTTCTTTTTTGATTTAGTTGCAGTACAAACATCAATCTCTATGCCTCCATCATTTGACTTTGAGTCAGTTATGCAAATTGCTTTTGAACAGAATCATTCAATGAAAAATCTATCCGTTGCAAAATCTTCAGTTATGTTGTCAATAACATCAAATGAAATGGTCATCAATGATGATAAATCAAATTCACAACAAAAATCGGATCCATTCACAAATAGTATATCATTATCAGCTTGTGCAGTTGATCGTCCTATTCCTTGCAATTCAAATAGTAACTCTTTGTCAATACTTCATAAAAATTCTCGTCATTTACTTAGTCGACGTAGTCTCTTCTCTGATTCATCCGAAATAAATGAAGAACCTAGGTATATCTATGTAGTTTTCTCGTGTTTTTTCTTTTTAAAATACACCTTTATAATGACCTGTCAATGTACACAAAATCCAGTGTAATTAAATGTTTTAACGTTCTACATCAGTTATCAGAATATCGAATATAGTTTTGTGTTACAGGCTGGTTTGTGAAATGAAGGCGAAGATGAATGCCTTTTGTGGTATTTTGTTCTATAATGATGGCCTGGATCGTTAGATTGCAACATAAGTCCAATCTATCAACCCATACGAAAGATATCAATCAATCACATGGTTAAATTAAACTAATTTTAATCATATCTAGCATTCCCTGATCATAATACTTGACTCGACTATTTCTAAATTAGGACAAGAATCAAGATAGAACAATATATTTTCCAGTTACACACCTACTAAAAATCCTTTAACAAACAATGGATTTTATATGGCATTGCTGTAAGAATCTTCTAGCATTTTGTTGATGCATTCACTTGTTCTGGTAGGTTGGAAATGAACTAATCAGGATATCTAGGTTTGAGCCTAATCAACACATGGAATAGTCAAAACTCTATCCTACTAACAAGAGTATTTAAGTTTAGTTCTGAGGTGAAAATCGATCTCTGTCTGTTGTTGTTTTATGCTGATCTCTTGCTTCAAGTTATATAATTCAAATCAGTTGGTGGGTTTTCCAGAATATAGAGATTGTTATATACTTTGTGCAGGTGAATCTGTCAATTATACACAACGTCATATTTTATCGAAAGACAACATGAGCAATGTCAGTTTTTATTGGAACTGTACATTGACCATTATAAATCACTAATTTGAACAAATTGTTAGGAGAAATTCAAACTTATTACTTGTTGTGACATGTGGTGTCTATGAGTTGATACTGATGCATAGTCTCCTTATCTACGGAGCCCAACTGGCTTTGTGGTGAAAAGATTGAGAGAGATGTTTATTTAATTGTAAGCCATCCACGATATGCGTCTCATTCCGTAGAAATGGGAACTACTTCTTGGTTATTCACGGACATTTATCGTTTGGCCTATTTGTGATTTCTCTAGTATATCACTTTTCTCTCTTGAAAACACGTCTAGTTCCTCGGATTCATCTAAAGGCCTTGGGATTGGATCACATCACCAATAGTCTGATATTATAGACCTAAACTGTAAATCTTTTCAGTTCTTAAATTATCCTAATACCTCCTTATACTACTACTAATACTTCTGAATTGATTAATAATTTATTCATAGTCAATAGGATATTTCGTAATAGTATTCTTTAAATGGTAGAGAAGATTTGTAGCTCAGGTGGATGATTTTGATGGAGTTTTGCTCTCTGAACTGGATGGTTTGGTCGTGGAGCTTTCATTGTTCTTCTGAACGACATCATCGGTTTGTACGGATGATCATCACTTTACACTTTAACTATTTTCATTAAGGCTTAAATATACGAATATTCAAAATAGGTTTTTTATGATATATTTCTAACCAACTTTCTAACTTACGATTTAAAATTGTAGTTACACTGTCGTAGATGACAATGAATTGAATGAACAACAACGTACATTAACTTCATCTGACGATTTAAGTCGTCATAATCATCATGATAATTTAAACTTTTCATCTGTTATTGCACAACCAGCATGTTCAAGCTATCTGTCATCAACAAAAATGGATTACGGATCTTCACATACAAAATTCGGTATTGATAAATTTTCTCCTAAAAATGAATCAAGTTCTTTATTGATTAAAGAAACTGCTGCGTTACAAATGTGTTTGCCTGCAAGTTGGGCTGATACTGTTGGCAATAGTGATAGTTCCGATGATGATAATTATTATAATGATGATAGTAATAATGATATTAAGAATAATGATGATAATTTAACAGATCAAGGTATGTTAGATCTAATTGTCTTTTTATCCTTCCTTTTTGTTTAGACGCATATTTTCTTAGTATTATTGATTGCTTTTTGTTCATTTGAAAAAAGTGACAATTTCGTTTAATTATCCTCCACATAGAATAGTGCCTTAATGGTCAGGGTGCTCGGCTTTTGATGGTTTGAACCCGGTTCCGATTACTTCAGTCTAAACCATCGAATAGTATCACTAAACCTCACACTTAGAATGTGACGCAACGCTAATTACCCGAATGTGATGTATCTGTCTAATAAATTAAACATTTAGTCCATTCTCCTAATTCATATTTCATCATTTTAATTGTATTGTTACTATTATCAGTCTGATTGATAACTGCTTGACCGTATTCGTATTAAACTTATATATTTTTAATCATTAATCTATAATGGTGCACTGTTGATTTATATTATGGTGATGATTGGAAGAAAGTTAGGGGCGACCAAACCAAAACGTGGCATCAGTCCTTGAAGTCGCTAACTTCTGGTCTGAGCCATATTGGTAGATGAAGACTACTTGGTTGGAGTCCGCATGACTATCGTAACCAATGGTTGGAGACTCCGGGTGACATTGCTCAGAACCGATCAAACTGGCATAGGTTTATACACTCGTTGTCTTCCCTTAAACCGTGAGATTAAATTTGCTTTATACCTTTCTTTCTACAAATTAATTCTTTCTTCCTATACTATATCCTTACATAAGATCTTCTTATATATATTACACCATTGAGTTAACCGCTTCTATGAATTCAGTGTTCATCTTGTTATGCTAATGAAGTGTGGCAACTTGGACTGATGCATATGTTTCTGCTCCTAAATTGTAGATGACTGACAAGAGATTTTGAAGTATATTTTCATAGATTTTGTAACAGCAAACCGATAGGTCTGTGAGTTTTTCAAGGTTATTCAAATGTGCTCATTATGTTGTCCTGTTGGAATGTCTAGAAATATCTCTCGTCAAAATCTTCAGAAGCTTACAAAACCCCTGGAAACGATTTATCTAATCAACACTGAAGAAAATTTCTTAGAAACATTTGGAAAAATAAAGGATTGTGTGACGTTTGTTTGGATAATTACCTATATCGTTAATATATTTAGTATTTTTTTGGAAGTTTCTAGAAAACTAAGGTTATGTGGGGCGATAAATAGAGATCATGACCCTGACTAAGTTCCAAACAATTGTGTAACTCAGCTAACTGAAACTTTCATAGATGAGTCGGCGGTGCCGGTCCTAATTTGACTTTTACACTCAGGAAGTAGTGAAATATGTTCCTAAACATAATCGAGTTTACCGATAATAGTTCTAATTGCTAATGTACAGGATATTTGTGAAAGTTGGTGAACTTTTTGATCAAAATCACAAACTTAACATTAATCAGGCAACCATTAAAAATCAGGAAGTACTGGATACCTGTTTGTTTTAATATAGGATTCCTCAGTGGGAATGCACATCCACGATCATACTCTGTATCGAAATAAGGCCAGTCTGTGGCATGAACTACAAAACCCAATGAGCTCCACATACCTCTTATAGTAATAATAATCATATGTTCTCTAGTGACTACTTGCAGGAGAATAATTCCGAAGGTCCTAGTGAGAGATTGAGATCAGTGAAGTTCAACCGTCATATGTGAGGCAATTACCCACGGATGACATTAAAGTTGATTGTATAATATGGCGAATAGATCAAAGTTATTTATACAACCCATTGAATCTCGATTCAATCTGAAGGTTAAACCTATTGGTTCAACAATCCTCCGTGGGTTCGTGAATAAGAGCTGCTGATTTTCACTACACAGCTAACTAGGATCAGTCCGTGATGTAAACTATAAAATTCTGATATTTATCTCTTATTTCTTCACAATGCTCTAAAGTTGTTTTACATTGGCATATTCTTTTGTATCTAAACTTCTTTGTTTATAAAACAGTTATTGTTGAAAGTAACTCTCTATCATTTACAAGGGGAATATTAACAATCTACGGCTTAATTAAATGTTATTGAACTAGAATAAAAGAGGTCTTATTACATAAGCTAACTAAATAAATGTCTTGCAAAATAAAATTTATAGATCTTTAAACATCTTTGTATACGATTTGTTGTGTTTTTCGACGATATTTACTCCATAAAAATGGAGATTTGTAGCTCAGGTGGATGATTTTGATGGAGTTTTGTTCTCTGAGCTGGATGGTTTGGTCGTGGAGCTTTCATTGTTCTTCTGAACGACATCGTCAGCATAAACTTCAGGTAGTGAAGTGTTCGAACTTCTCCACACATAGCTCACAACTTGTCCTGTAGACCTCGATGTTGATTGGTCATTGTTGACCTTTAACCTGTCATCGTTTACGTTATTTTGGTTGTATCTCCTATAGGACCAAAAACCAAATCAATAGGAGATATAACCAAAATAAAGAGGTAAACAATGACAGGTTAAAGGTCAACAATGACCAATCAACATCGAGGTCTACAGGACAAGCTGTGAGCCATATGTGAAGAAGTTCGAACACTTCACTTCTACCTGAAGTTTGTGCTGACGATGTCGTTCAGAATAACGATGAAAGCTCCACGAACAAACCATCCAACTCAGAGAACAAAACTACATAGAAATCCCAAAATTCTGTATGTACGCTTGTACAACGTAATTAGCTTGTCATAAATTAATTCTTTATGTGATAAAAATCTATGCGAAGATAATTCTTTAATAATAATAAATCTTTTCATTTCAGATAATTCAGTCAGTATGCATACGTTGAATCGAACTACAGTTGAACAAATTTCTAAAAATATTGATAATAATGATAATGTTATATATTTCGATGATACTAGTACAAATGTTGGTTATTACAAACATATTGATTATTGTTCATCTCAAATGAATTCACCACAATATCAACAACAATTTCGTTGTGGTAGTACTAGTCCAAATGTTTGTTACACCGATATATCATTTCAAAGTCCTGATTTATCACCAATCTTACCTATACACCGTAAGAATAGTTGTACAAATTGTCCACCATTTACTGATGAAGTTAAAGATATTTCTCTTGTTCAAACTAACATGCATATGAATGAGATTAGTAGTAATCATAGAATTATGCCAGCGAAATGTTTATTTCCGCCTAATTTGAATGGATCAAGTTGACAACAGTAATATTAATACTGTTGTTGTAATGATAAATTGTCGTAATATTATTGCAATAAAATATGTAGTAGTCATAATGATAATTTTGTCACGTGAAAAATGTGGTTACACGATTACTCTCTCTCTCTCTCTGTTCCCCCGCCTCCTACCGACTTACAATGAATCGTTTTAATTGTACTAACATTGTTTTTTTTTCTCCCAGCTCTGTGACCGGATGATTATTTTTTATCTCACGTAATACCTTTTTTCTTGATTAATGTATAACTGAATGCGTTATTAACAATCAATATTCTTGTCCGAAGTTATTTTTCTTTAAAGACAAGGCTTTACTACGATTTGTAAGTGACTTCTTTTTTTTCGTAAAAATAAAACTTCATTCTGTGGTATTTGCAATAATTAACTAGTATTGTTTACTAGTAATTTGTCCATCTTATTTTCTCATTTTAAGCCAAAAATATTAATGTTATTAGAATTATAAGTTAGTGTATTCTGTTTTCTGCATGGTCAGTTAGTAACAACGTAGAACTTCGTACGTACATACATCAGTTCTAGTAGCCATACCACATTAGCACAGAGATGCAGTTGTCGATTCAAATCCCGTAGTGGTAGAGGTAGTAAGAGTATAAGCAGTAATCGAGAACATTAGGGTTTGAAGATGTTATTCAAGGAGTATAATCCAGTGAAATAAATTTGGGAAGAGAAGAGAGAGAGACAAGGAGGATTCAGGAGATTAGAATTTGGGAGAACACAAAGCGTGGATACACCTGCGTCATTGCAAACGATTTTGAGCCATGTCATTCAAAGTCTCTAACCATCGGTCGCTATCGTCTCGCGGATCCCAACCAGGTAGTCTACATTTACCGCTTGTCAGTGAATTCATGGATTTGTTCCATGTTTTGGTTTGGCCGCCCTTAGCTTTTTTTCCATCCTACTCCTACATCATAAAACATTGCACGTCGGGGTAGTCGGTGGTTGGGCATACGTAACACGTGTCCCAGCCATCTCAACTGATCAAGTTTCACTACTTCAGCAATTGATTTGCCATCCTTACCTAGTACCCGTTTCTTAACAACTGCATTACTTACTCGGTGGTCCCGGGATATACGAGCAATGCTTCGAAGACACCTATGATCAAATACTAGTAACCTACGGATATCCTCTACTCTTACCGGCCATGTTTCACTGCCATAAAGTAGGATTGAACGAACTGCCGCACAGTAAATATGTGCTTTGGTTGATAGACGGATATCTCGCCTACGCCATAAATGACGCAAATTGGCAAAAGCTAGTCGAGCCCCCTGTATCATCCGTGCTGAGATCTCGTCACAAATAAAAGACTTAATAAGTCAATCTAAAGCTATGTACAATATGCGTTGGTCCAAGTTGTTTCAGCGTAATGAAGACAAATGTCAGAGTAGTAGAAGTAGTAACATTATCAGTGATAGTACTAAAGATTAGGCAAAGGAAAATATTATTCGAGAAGAAATAATAATAAATGTAACAGATGATTTTTAAGTTTACAATCTAAAGAGGGACAAAAAACTGAATACATCTGCATAATTGAACGTGATTTAGCATCATGCCACCCAATGTTTTACTACCATTGATTACGATAGCAACGTGAACTCGAAGCAAGAAGCCTGGACTTTTTCAACATGATTCATTCTAATGATTTCATGAATTGATGCTATCTCTTGAATGATTCGACCCTAACTTTATTTCTGTTACAACTAGGCTCTGCAGTGGTGATGATAATCTTTTATCATAAAAATGTTGTGAATTCGTGTGACTCTGCTCAACTTACAGATTTCTCATGTTTATATCCAGCTACAATTAACGTCATCTGACACATTAGTCCAGGTTCCAATACCACAAAGTTACAGGATGTTGGATGGTAAAGTGATCAAATTAATTATAGCAGCAATGATAGTAAGAAAGACTAGCCATACTGAAGACATGAGAAAGTTATGCGTGAAAGAATACTAATAGCTTATATCCATGAAAACTTCAAGTTAACCTTTGTCATCCAACATACCAGCAAAACTCATCTGAACAATAAAATCAATTTGTTTCGCCCTTCTTATTTAGACAACAGCTAGGTACAATTCTTCGTGATTAGAGGAAATTTAAACCATGATTTGTAGTAGTGTGTTATAGCTCAACTTCTGAATTGATTACTAGATAGCTAGGTTTGTATGATGTTTACTAATAATTATGGAAAAGAGCTTAGCCTATATTTGGAGATCCCTGGCTTCCTAAAACACTACAGAAGTCAGACAAAAGCTAAATCATAGATCATCTGGTAAAGTCTGGTTATTCCTCTTCACCAGAAGCTTCGTTTCAAATCCTATGTAGTGGGAAAAGCCGGTCCAAGAGGAATCCAAATGAAAAACGTATGTACGGCAGCGGCTATTGCTTTCCGCTATTTCAAGCCCAACTGTTGCGTACAATAACCAGTATATTCAGTTATTCATTCTTCTTTTCTATCTTTCATAATTTATCTTTTTTTACTTTCTAATCACTCTTCTCAATAATTAATTAGTCATTATTATGACTTTTAATTACTCTCTCATAAAAACTGTCGAGTGGGCAATTATCACTTTAACGCTTTTCACTAACCGGTTATTACCTAACTTCTCAATATCTGATTTTCGTAAACAATTTATATGACACTATACCAGTTACAATTTTCTCATTATTCAACATCATTCTGTTTTATTGTAGGCTATAATTTGAGCAAATAAAAAATTATAAATACAATTGTACAGTCTAAGTGAATCAAATCATCGAAAGGACAATCCCTTTGCTAATCTGTTATTGATTCTAGAAGAATTTGACGGAAATTTATTGTACTACTTATGAGTAGTTAAACTTCAAAACAATTCATTTCAATATTAGTAATCACATTGTGACCATTTCACAACAAAAAATATACATTTGTATTTAATGCTCAGTTCGCATATCATCTAAATATTTTCCAAAAGATTATGTCCAGTAAATATATGGATTGATTTATGCTTATTCATAAATGTATTACCCTAAATGATTTATTTCATCTACTATACAGATTAAAACATATTAATACGTGAGATAATTAGGAAAGATTGACGGTAAAACAAGGTTTATCATCACAATTGATTGATCACTGGGTGGCGATCAATGTCATGCGTGTCTAGTCCTTATTAGTGCAGATCGAATTTCATCGATCATGTTGCAATGTGGCCACCAGCCTAGGTGATTCGACACTGCATGCACTATTGTGAGAATAGATGGTGGTTGGAGGTAGTCAACAGGAAACCCTGGACCCGGGTTTCGTGCTACTTGGCACTCATCAGCAAAGTGTACCTGTAGTCTTGAGGGAACTGGTGGATTCGATCTCGTGTCACCCAGCTTCACAGTCAAAGACGTTACCACTGAGCTATCCGAACCGCGACTGACCTCCTGTAAGACTGAGATCTAATCATCACCTGTTTGTGTATTATAAACATATATGGTTAAATATTCTCCATATACAGAAAAGCAATACCTCTGGGTCTAGTTCATTGGAACCAGAGATTAGACGTTTACGCATGAGATCAAAGTTGCTGAACTGGATCCTCAGTTCTGGGTCATAAATGAACATTGTTAAGTAGTCTCAAACTAGGATGAAACAGCTATCGAATGCTTTCAGATTTTTGATAGTTGTTCAACTTGTATCGATTCATGATCTCAACAATCTCCATACTAATACTGATTATTTATTTGCCCTTTGATAAAATGATAAATTCTTTGAAAGCGCAAAATTGTCGACTGAAACCAATAAATGTTAAACCACATATGTTCAACAACATAAATGGGTTTATGTATGTCTAAATGTACAGAAATTGATTTGACTAGGTGGGCTAATCTTCAATGCTCAAAACAAAATTCAACTATTGGAAAGAGGTAGATTTTCTGTTTAAATCATTTAACATTAAATATCCATGCTCTTGAAGCATACAATTCGTGATTTTTTTCATGTTTTTCACATCTGTACTTCATCTTACATGCATAATACTTGATTTTCATATTTATATATAATAGAAAGGTATTATAACAATCAAAAAGTGGGATTTTCATATACTTTACTTTATACCTTCAACATCCACATTAGCAGATCACAACAACCAGTGTAATAGAAATAAGATTACGTAATCCCCGACTCACGTTTTTTATATTTTGTATGTATATGTATATAAGAGAATAATTATGGCTTGCAGTAGAATCTAGGATACTCGTTTCGTCCTATTTCACCTACGTCAGCTGAATATATATGCATTTTAGAATTGATGTTGATTTCGGGACACCGACCCAGTACTTTTCGCTTTGAACGTTGAACACGTTATCTATTCAGCTATTGAGTCCAGGTAACCATTCATCTGTACAATGGGTATAGGATTTATATCATTATTAGAATAATCTTAGATTATTCTGTTTTTGATATTTTCGATTGAATTTCAATCGGTCTTAGCTGGAAAATGTGAATCCTGTGCAAATTACTTCGATAAATGAATAAATAAAGATTGATTTCACTGTCCTGTCAATCATTATGTATATCGTTCAACTATCAAATTGTTAGGTGTTTTATAATTCACCTGAAGACCTATATATATACTACCTGATAAACAGGAATCTATTCAATTTATTAATCAAAACTTTGAAATATGTTATTTCGATTGTAGATCACCAATGTTGGTGATCTATGTGGGTGACTGCATGTTTACTAGGGTTGAATAGGAATGGTATGACTTCCTAGCTTACGTCGAAGTCACGCCCCGTGGTTAATAATTAACCTGTTTTTTTATGCTATCGTAACAACTAGGTGACTGGCTAGAATAAATACTCTCAATAGTTAACTGTATATATTAGCATCATCAGTTAACAGAAGTACAAGGTGACACCCCTGCCACATGCGCCTTTCCATGGCATGAAGCTGATTTTTATTTATTTATTTTAACATATAGATATTGGTACAAGGAGGC